AGTGTAATTTTTTTATCTTTTCTTAAAAAGTTTCTGTGTTATGCATTTTGATAACACTACTGATGATCCTTCCATTTATATTTTAAATATTATGTACTGCATTTTCACAATTAAAACTTTTCTTAGCATTCAAACTAGAATTGATTAAATTTATGACTGAGGCTTCATGTGAGCTTTCCATTGTGGTTTGTGGGTGGTGTATTTGCCTTGTAACTTAGTGAGTTACAATAAGAATTGTGGGTTTTCATAGCCACTTTCTCAGGAAGAACCTTTTGAAGAACAGGGCTATGAAGTATTTGAAGAAAGGAAATAAAATTCGATACTGATCTTTCAGAAAAGAGAAGGGGAATGCTATTAGTAACAGAAGAGGTTAAACATTTATTATTACACTCAGTAAAAAAATGAAGAGTATTAACAATAAACTAAGTTAACCAGTGCAAACAAACCTTACGTGAATATCAAATATGAAATGCTTCCCAAAGGAAACAGAAACTCTATTCACAAAATTGACAAAGAAGATTTATTTATTTATTTATTTTTTAAGTAGTGGAATTGAGAAAAACCATCAGTATCACCCCAGGAATGGACTAAAGATCTGGAAGGTTTCTTTCACCATTAAAAACTTCTTTTCAGTCAATTCTGTACCAAATGCATTCACCCATTCAATATTCACTCAGCAAAGTTTTATTGATTGCCTATAAGAAATATACACTGTGCTAGTGTATTTTATTAGTAACTATCACAAAGCAGTTATATTGGGCAATCTTTAAAATTGATGAAAAGTCTAGGAGCAGATCTTCCTGGGTAAAAGAGGCCTCACACTGAGTATAAATGTGGCCCACGCTGATATTTTAACAGTTTAAGGTCAATACAATCTGTGGGACAACAATGACCTAAGCAAGTCATTCATTCATTCAGTTCATCTTCATTCATTCAACATACATGTTTGAGTGCACACACCAGGTAGATGCTGGCATACAAAGGTGCCTAAACATGGCCCTTGCCTTCAAGGAGCTTCCACTCCTGTAAAAGAAGACCCTTATATAAGCTAATAAGACTAATAAAACAAGTGCTCTGAGATAAATTCAAAAAGGAAAACATCTAAGATGCTTATAATCAAGTTCTGGAGATAAAAACCAATTACATGTAATGGAAAATTTAGTTATTTTATTTTATTTTATTTTTGAGACAGAGTTTCGCTTTTGTTGCCCAGGTTGGAGTGCAGTGGCATGATCTCGGCTCACTGCAATCTCCGCCTTCTGGGTTCAAGCAATTCTCCTGCCTCAGCCTCCCAAGAAGCTGGGATTACAGGTGTGTACCATTATGCCCAGCTAATTTTTGTATTTTTGGTAGAAACGGGGTTTCACCGTGTTGGCCAGGCTGGTCTCAAACTCCTGACCTCAGGTGATTCACCCGCCTCGGCCTCCCAAAGTGCTGAGATTGCAGGCATGAGCCACCATGCCTGGCAAAATTTAGTTTTAAAACACATATTTAAGGATTGATTGATCCAAGTGATTGATTTACCCAAGCTCTCAGTGATCTTGGAGGCTAGTCACTTATTCCAACAAGAATGCAAGTCCAGAAATGATTTACAGAAAGAGGGAGGGTTTTTTTGTTTTTGTTTTTTCTCATTGCCTGATGGTACTAGATTGATTTTTGGCTAAAAGATAACGTTGCTCAACTTGACCGCCTACCTTAATTATCAGCTTGAATGCCGTTTTACTGTTTCAAATATCCAATCTATCCTCAAAGAGCAAAGTTATGCCCCCGTTGAAGAAATTCAAAATAATATGTGTGTCAGTTTTCAAAGGGAGTTTCTAAAGAATTTCAAAAATGCTTCAAGCGATAGCAGCAGTAATATGGTTTGGCTATGTCCCCGCCCAAATCTCATCTTGAATTGTAGTTCCCATAATCCCCACATATCATGGGAGGGACCAGGTGGAGATAGTTGAATCATGAGGGTGGTTCCCTCGTCCTGTTCTCATGAGTGTGAGTCAGTTCTCATGAGATCTGATGGTTTTATAAGGCGCTTCCCGCTTCACTGGGCGTTCGTTCTCTCTCCTGCTGCCCTGTGAAAGAGGTGCTTTTCTCCATGATTGTAAGTTTCCTGAGGCCTCCCCAGCCATGCGGAACTGTGAGTCAATTAAACCTCTTTTCTTTATGAATTACCCAGTCTTGGGTATTTCTTCATAGCAGTGTGAGAACAAACTAATATAAGCAGCATTCAAATAAATGATTACTTTGGAAAAGAGAACATTCATTTGGATGGATAAGTGCTGGTATAACAGATTTAAAATGACTGTTCACTTTTGCTGTTTGCTACTTGCATAAACCTGAGAGAAGAACTAACAATGGAAGGCGTTGATAATTACCCAATGGCCGCCACAGCCTGTGCGTTTCTTAAGTGTTCCAAGAAGCAGCTGGGCGCTGTGGCTCACACCTGTAATCCCAACACTTTGGTAGGCTGAGGTGGGTGGATTGCTTGAGCCCAGAAGTTTGAGATCAGCCTGGGCAAAATGGTGAAACCCCATCTCTACAAAAAATACACAAAAAAAAAAAAAAAAAAAAAAAAAGAGTTCAGAGAAGAATTAGGGAGAGAAGGGCTGGCCGAGGAGGGAGGTCACACATAAAAGGGATTGATGAGGTTTTGATAGAATCAATAGTCTAAACTTGCTGTTATGGTTTTATTTAGATGAAATATAAGTAAATTTGGCAAGTAGCAAGTTAGAAGCAGAGCTTAGAATTTACCCCATTAAATTAGACTATCCTAATAGAAAGTAACTATATAATTGTTTTTTCTGGAATTTCCAATAAGAGGACTGAAATTATTCTTGGACTACTTACCTACAACCCCTCTTAGTGGCAACTATGACCTAGACGACTCAACAAGATCTGAGTCTGTGATGGCTAATTTTACGTGTCAACTTGACTGGGTCACAGTGCCCAGATCTTTGGTCAACAGTCATTCTGAATATTTCTGTGGGGGTGTTTTTGGATGGGGTTAACATTTAGATCATGGATTTTGAATAAAGCAGATTGCCATCTCTGATGTGGGTGGGCCTCATCTAATCAGTCGAAGGATGAACTAGAATAACACATTGGCTTCCCCCAGCAAGAGTGAATTCTGCCAACAGCCTTCAGACTCAAGCTGCAACATCAACTCTTCCCTGTGTCTCCAGCCTGCTGTCTTACCCCACAGATTTTGGACTTGTCACAACTGTGTGAGACAATTCCTTAAAAGAAATCTCTATTTAAGGATACTCGAATCAAAGCATTGCATACTGCATCATAATAGAAAGTCTTTTGTCCAGATATAAGAGCAAAGGCAGAGATGCTTCACTTTGTATCTTTGTATCCAAAGCAGTTGACGAGGTGGCAGATTGTCTGTGACCTCTTCTGGGCTTTTGGCAGTGGCCACCTGTCAATTCTTTTACCCGTTCTTTATTAGCTTGCTCTTTGAATTTTTGCCTTCAACTCTTTCCTCTCTCCCTCTCATTCGGGAGATGACCTTGCCTCTCGTATGACCTGGAGCAGTGCTTCTCAAACTGGAATGTTCCTAGTAATCCTCTAGATCTTGATAGACTGCAGACCCTGATTTAGCAGCTCTGGGCTGGGCCTGAACGTCTGCGTTTCTAACCAGGTGCTGCTGAGGTTACTGGAGCACAGCAAGGTTCTAGAGCCGTCCATCTCAAACTCTGTGAATCACCTGGGATCTTGTTAGAAATGCAGCAGCTCAGGCTCCGCCTGACTTCCTGAATCTGAATCCGTGTGCTCACACACGCCCAGGGGCAGGTAGGCACACTCAGATTGGGGAGTGGCTCTCCAGCACACCTGTCTTCTCCAGGCCTGGGCCCCATCTGCTCTCTCCTGTAGCTTCAAGCTCTTTCTTTCTGCTCCTGACCCTTGGCCTAGGAATTTGGTTACTCCTTCCCTGTTTTAAGTAGTAACTCTCTCTACCTGAGCCCCTCCTCCACCCCTGGTTAAAGGTTTTCTTCTCTGTTACAGTTTAAACTTGAGTGTTCTGTATTTGCTGTCTCTTCACCCTTACCACCCATCCCAGTCTTTACTACTTCATATCACGTTCTCTATGTGTGTGTGTGTGTGTGTGTGTGTGTGCACACGTGTGCATGGACATGCACACACAGGTGCATGTGTGCATACAGAAAGAAATTGATTGTCACAAATTTTTCCTTTTTTGTTTTTGCAGATGGGGTTTTTCTCTGTCACCCAGGCTGGAGTGCAGTGGCACCACCACAGCTCACTGCAGCCTCGAACTCCTGGGTTTACTCTATCCTCCCACCTCATGGGACGACACATGTGCATCACCATGCCTGGCTAATTTTTTCATTTTTTGTAGAAACAGGGTCTCCCTATGTTGTCCGCGCTAGTCTCGAACTTCTAGGCTCAAAGGATCCTCTTGCCTTGGACTCCCAAAGTATTGGGACTACCAGCCTGAGCCACCACGCCCAGCTGTAATCATTTCAACTAAAAATAACCAATTAACATTTCACCCATTCAATACAACTATTCTCAATTGTTTTGGATCGATTTGAAACTCTGCTAAACACATACCAGTAACCTAAATTAGTAACGTAGATGCTTTAATTTCTGAATGATTCACTTACTCTGGCAGAACGATGTGGAATTTTGCCTCTCCTCCTTCTGGAATGAGAGGCCAGGATTTACTTAAACTTCCAACCTGACCCTTCACTACACTATTTAACCCAAGCATGCTCAGGTGAAGTCCAAGCTTCTCAGGGTGGCCTGCAGGGCATTCCACCCCAGCCGGCTCTCAGTTTCCCCTGACACACTTTATAACATGGCAGTATTAAACTACTAAAGGTCTTGGGACTACACACACTGTTCCATGCCTCTGGCCCTTGAGCTAGTTTGCGTCACCTCCCCCTGTTCACCTGGCTGACTCCCAGCACCATTGAGGACCCAACTCAGGCACCTCCTCTTCTAGGAAGTTCGTTCACTATAATAATAAGGGCATTGCCCCAATGCCATCGTACAGCTCATATTCAGTGCACGGTCAGTATTTGTTGAGGGACAGAAGAAAGCAGGGGAAATATTCTACTTAATCATTTAGAGGAGTTGCCTCAGGCAACCAGAATTCAAAGGCAGGAATAGCGCTATACCGCTTGCCATAAAATGGATCCACGCAAAAATACACTTTGAAGCAGAAATGAAAGACTGTAAAAGGAATGAAGATCAGAATAGCAACAAGAGCAATACCTTAGATTTGTGTGATTTTACAATTTATAAATTATTGTTGGATCTCATCATGTTTACGGCAGAACGAGGTGGGTGCTGGTATTCTCATTGACAGATAAGGAGACCAGGGCTCAGGGGAAGGGTCTGCTCACCCTAAGGGGCTGCAGTGACAGATCTTTTGGCTCTCTATTTGGTTCCTACCCCACCATTTCACAGCTTGCCTAAAATGAGACAAATCGTAAGATATTAATAAGAATTCACTTTCAAAATTCTATATACTTGCTGCTCTATTTTAAAAATATATTTCTCTTAAATTATGCTATGCTAATTAGCTCTACCATTTCCAGACAGTAATCTGTTATTGGGTGCTACTTTTTAAATTTAGATGCCACTACTAAATCCTAATTTAGACTCATTCCTTTTAATAACATCTATGCCTTCTAATGTGTTCCACCCTCCATTGCTTCAAAATATGAGAGTTTATAATGTGTTGTATTCATTCCATTATATGGATAGAACTCTACCTTCAGAAAATTCTAGTTTAGCTCTTCATTTTAAAGACATTCCTTGCATATATATTTGGGATCCTTACCTTGATGCTTTTTCTGTGTCTTTTGATAAATTCCTCCTTTGTTACACTGCACTGTTTCTCTGAGGTCTACATTAGAATAACCCCTTAAGAATAAGGAACTGTTGTGAATTGCTTTGTAAACAGGTTGCCAGCTGACTCCAATATGTATTTCCTGTCTTCTCTTTTCACCCAGGTGGGTAATAACTGTGTTGTCACCTGGAGGCAGTCAGTAGTTACTAACCACCCAGTATGTCAAATTACCAGGTAGTGTTACCCAGCAAAAGGGGCTCACCGCACTAGAAATCAACAGTATGACACCAAGTTTTTGAGAAAAGAAAAGTTTCATATTGCAAGTCAACTTCTGAGGAAACAGGAGTCCAGTTCAAATCTGTCTGCTTGTACTGGCTTTAAAGCAGTGATTTTATTACAAAAGGTTTAGGGGTGGATCCTGGTGTTAGCAGGTAATTGGTGGAAGCAAAGGGGACATCTGGGAGGTCTTCAAGCTTCCTTGTAGGTCCCATGTGCAAATTCGGAGGGAGTTGGTATGAAACATGTGGTAAAAATTCAGGCTGTGACATCAGCAAGCTTGCTGTGTGCAAACTCCATTTGGCCGTATTGATTCCAGCTGATTTCAGTCAGTTTTGTTGTAAGCAGAGGGAGTTTCAGCAAATTGTTTCTTTTCTAATCTGCCCCTGAAAACAAGAATCTCTGTTATTGGTGTCTTTGACTCTTTGAAACAGTTTCAGTAGTTCCCAGGATATGAAGATAAAAGACCCCCTTCATCAGTGAAAACTCTCACAAGAGGATGAAAGACATAGCTTCCTCTATGAGAGTAGAAGAACAATTAATGTGACACTCACAAACACTATGGTTGGTGCCAGGAACGTGGCCTGGTGAGGAGGAGAGTGTCACATCCTCCTTGCCCACTCCTGTTTCCATGCCTGCGTTTCCCCTTCTGCCCCTCTCCTAAGCCAGGATGACCCTTCTGACTGCATGGAACTATCACAGAAACTGCTTCTATTTACACCAGACAACTTGGGATTCAGTCTTCTTGCTTGGTTCGTTCTTACTGCAAAGATCCGTGACCACTTTGCCCACATTTGCTTAAGCTGAAAGCTAATGGATGAAAGTTTGCAGTTGAAAATCAGACACTACTACTTTCTCTTCAATCTCTTCCCTTTTTGCTTTTCTTAGGAAACATAGGAGACCGTGGTCGGGAAAGCTCACTGCAAGAACTATACAAATAATGTAAAAAGTAAGGCGTCCATAGGATCAAAGCCACATTTCTTTGCTCTCTGCACCCCATTCCCACGCTGGCCAGGTTAAGCCTCCTTCGTGGCCAGCACCCGTTGGCAGGGCAGAACTCCCTGGAACCCGACCCTTGTCTCCATAGCGACGAGTCACAAAGTGGCCCGGGGCTCCCGCAGCGCTGAGTTCAGCCGGAGCCAGGGTCCCGCGGCCGCCTCCTCGGGCAGAATGGAACAGCCCGGGCCCAGGGCTCCGGATCCCTCTCTCTGCCACCACAACCTCCGGCCAAGTAAGACAGCAGACTCTGCCGGTCTGCGGGGTGGGGAGGGGGCTTTCCCGGGGAAAGGGTCCTGTTGAGAAAAAGGGGCCTTAGGTCTTTAAGGGTGTGGCATCGCTCTTAGGAGTACACTCAACTGAGGAAAAGAAGGGGAGTCAGGGAGAATTACAGGGTATTCATGACGTTGCCCCTTTTCAGTCCTTCGCGTACCCTTTGCCAAGTCCCCGCTCCCGAAAAGGCGCAGGGTTAAGTTTTAAACACTCAAGGAAACGCCTGGCTAAGGGGACAGGAAAAAAGGAAGAGCTGGTGATTTTCCAAGGAAAACAGGGTCAAAGGCAAAGAAGAAAAAGTCCGGGAAGATCAGAAGAGAACAAGTCCTGCATGAGTCCCGATCCCCATACAGGGTCTAGGAAACAGCAAGGAAAGTGGGGGAGGGAGTGGCTGCTGGCTGCAGTCCCAGCGGTGTCTGCAGAGGCGGGGCCCTCCCTGGGCTGTCACATAGGCTGGGAGCCATGGCCTTCAGCGGCCGCCTCTAACCCCAACTGATTTTTCTTCCACAGAGATTTTGTATCTCACAGAGGTAGTGCTTTTCATCCTAATTCTACCGGCAGATGCAGCAGGTTCACCAGTTCAGGCTTTTGGGTCGGTGGAGGGAGAGCCACTCTGGCTGTGATGCTAGTGGCATGATTACCGAGTAGTCAGCTCCATCGTGGTCTCTTGTGGCAATAATTGCCCACTGCTGCTGTATAGCTGGGTAATTGTAATTCCACAGTGGCTGCGGAGCACTGAGGGATTGTTCAAGTACAAATTTCCTAGAATGGTGCCTCCCACAAGAAGGAGTGAAGTTCATATTTTCATTCCAATTCATTCCATTGTGAATTGAGTGGAAAATGAAAATACTTAATGCAGAAAATAGCTAATACACTCAGTTTCTATATGATGACAAGGCAAACAGGAGACACAAAGGAGGGAGGATCCCCTCCTAGCATCCCGACGGCACCCCTTTGGATGCTTCTCTTCCCTTTCTAACCACCCTGTTCTCCCGCTGTCTCCCCATTGCATCGCCTTCTTGTCTGGGAACTCTTAGAGTCTTCCAAGATTGATCCTTCTAGGCTTACCTTCTCTTTGTGACCACATCCTGCCACCGGGCTTCAGGTGCTGCATAAAGGTGCCAACAACTCTCTACCTTTATCCCTGACTTGGACTTTCCTCCTAATTTTTCAGACCAGAATATCTAACTGTCTACCAGACAGTTCCATGTGGGTGTCGCAGCAGGGCCTCCAACTTGACGTGTGCAAAACCACACTCCTTGTCCTCCTCAAACCTTCCAGACTTTGAGAGTTCAGTTAAGAGGGTCCTAGCTCCTCAGCTTAGAAGGGAAAGCAGCCTCCTTGAGACTGCAGTTCGATCACCAGGTCTCTTTGATTCTGCCTCCAAAGCTCTTTTTCCCCTGGGTGAATTTGCCCCTTTACCTCCAGGCTCGGGCCTCTAATGGCTAGTCTGTGCCACTTCATCCCCCACTGCTGGGTGAGTCACCCTCCAAAAGGTGGGCTTGATGTGTCACCACTGCCCAGCTTTGGTCCAAAATAGGATGAGGTTGATGGTGACTGATGACTAACTGCTATTGAATAATTACTACAGATGGGCCTCTCAGGTGCTGTATTAGCTTCCTGTGGCTGCTGTATGTTCCCACAGACTGGTGGATTCAAACAACAAAAATGTATTTGCTCACAGCTCTGAAGGTCAAGAGCCTGAAATCAAGGTCTGGAAAAGTCTGCACTCCCTCCACAGGCCCTGGGGGAGAAGTGGTCCTTACCTCTTCCAGCTTCAGGTGGCCATGGGCACTTCCAGCTTCAGGTGGCCATGGGCACTGCTAGTGGTGGCAGTGGCTGCTGCCATCATGCTGGCTGCAGTAGGGAAGCACAGCTGGGGCTGCAACGCTCCATGGAGCCCATGGGAGTTGCCCCTTCTGAGTCGGGATGGGAGCTCCCTGTGCCGCTACAGCTGCCCAAACCACAGCTGCAGACCCAGGCCTCCTGCTCTATGGAGCAGGCAGGAGCCCCGTCGTCCTGGGCAAGGCTACAGCCACTCAAACTGCCGCTGTGGGTCTGGGCCTCCCTGTGCCTCTGAGCCTCCCTGTGGAACCCACGGCTGCAGACCTGGGCCTTCCACTCTATGAAGCAGACAGGAGCCAGGGACAAGCGGGAGCTTTGCCTCTTCCAAGTTGGTCAGGCGGGAGCTCCCTGGTGCAGCTGTGGCTGCCCTCCCAGGCACAGGACCTGGGCATCTCTGCAGCCTGCACCCTTGAACCCCCCAGGAAGGACACCCTCACCCACCCATCCCTGCAGGCTCAGGGGTATCTCCTCCCACTGCCAGGCCACACCCCACCCTCATCCCTGCAGGCTCAGGGGTATCTGCTCGCACTCCCTGGCCTCTCTCCACTGGCTCTGATCTCAGAGTGGGGTTGGGGCCAAGCCCCAGGGCTATGAATGGCAGCTGGAGGCAGGCAGAGTCCTGGGTGGAAGGGGCTGGGTTGCCCAATAAGGCCCCACCTTCTGACCAGGGAGGGCCTGAAGACTGGGGATCAGGTTGCCAGTCAGGAACCTGAGTGGGGACTCATGCTGCCTCCTCCGGCCTGCCCATGGCCACCCATGGACCAATCAGCATGCACATTCTTCCCTCTGAAGTCCATAAAATCCCTGGGCTCAGCCAGAGCAGGGAAGAGGATGGCCAGAGAATGAAGAGGGCAGGGAGAGACAAGGGAACCACCGTCTGCAGAGGAGTATGCTCTCTGCTGATAGCTGGAGATGATGGGGCAACTAGCTGCAGAAAGGAAGGAGTACCCTTTCCACTGCTGACAGAGGGGAGCTACCCTCTCTGCTGAGAGCTTCAGAGACCTGCAGAGACCTCCAAATGACTTGCCTATGGAGAGGACTATGCTCTGCAGGGCCTCCTCTCTGCTGACAGCTGAACACCTGACTGGATGACCTGCCTACAGAGAGAAGCTACTCCTTCCTCCGAGCTGTTCTAACACTAAAACTCTTCTTCACTCTTCACTTGTCTGTGTACCTCAATGCGGGAGAAAAACTCTGGCAAAGGCTGGCAAAGGCACTGCAGGCACAGAGGTTTCCAGCCAGAAAAATCAACACGCCAGAGATTCTGTAACACTAGCTTGTGGCCTCATTACTCCAGGTCTCTGCCTCTGTCTTATAAGCACACTTTTAATTGCATTTAGGGTACACGAGGATAATCCAGGATGATTTCCTAATCTCAAGATCTTTAATTGCTAGCACAAAAACCCCTTTTCCCAATAAGATCAGAGTCACAGGTTTTGGGGATTAGGACATGGACTCATCTTTTTTGTAGTGTCACCATGTGGCACATTACAAACAACTTGTATTTGTCAATAGCTTGAATCCCTAAAACAAAATGAGGGAATAAAACAACGTATGTGAAAATATTTTTTAAAGTATGATAGAATATACGTATTAGTTACTATTTTATAATATTTTTATAGCTTTATATTTTCCTAATGGTGAACACATCCAGTGGGTGGTCAAGGTTAGCAGAATGAGGCTTTAGGATGCTTTGCCGACCTGTCATTAGCCATCTTTCCCTTTGCTCCATTCACATGGGGCTATTTGTTCTGTCTCATCTCAGACTCTCATATCTCCTGCTACTTCCTCTGTAAATTGCTTTACTTCATGTCCTGTGTTTCTCTTTCAAACATCTACTAAATTAAATCACAGCTCAGGTGCCAGCTATGCTATGATGACCCCTGGGCCTGCCCTTGCTGCACCATCTTCTCATCCAAGCAAAAAGAATTGCACTCTCTTCATGTTCCCTGTGACACATAGGCCATCAGCACCACATTAAACTTGTGCTCATAGGATACATAGCTCATCTCTTGGCTTGTGATTTCTCCAAGGCCAGGTCAAGACTCTATGTCCCAGTGCCCCACAGGGCGTGGTCCATGGGAGGGCTTGGGGACTTGTTTGCAGGAGGAACAGAAAATGAGAGAAGAAAGAATGAGGAAGACATAATCACAGGAAGGATGGATATGAGCTACAGAAAAAGACATTGAGACACTGAGAAGAAAGTAGTGACATGCAGAGAACATACTAGAAACAGATTTTCAGAATATTGTGATTACAGATTTCTCAATGAACATTTCTGTTAATGAAGAAGATCAGTTCCAATAGCATACTGTACTTTCAGAAGCTTTGCCAATGGAGGTAAAAAGCATGGAAATACAGCCCTGACAAAAAGGGTTGTAGTAAGGGAAATCATTAACATGAAATTAAAGGAAGATGTACCAAAGATAAAGTGTGCATCCAAGCAGGTAAGGATTAGGGAGAGGAGGGAGTGCCTGATCTGTACAAATGTAACACAGGAAGAGGGAGGCTTGCGTGGCCTCGGTTCCTGGAAACAGTGAGGCATGCTGCTCTTGTCCGTCAGGCTCCTGATACAGGTACCTGGCAATTGGTGACCCCAGTTGCCAAACTATCTTCAGAAGGGATAGGACCCTAGTTGGGAGCACAGAGAGGTACGTCGTGCTTGCCCACATGATTGCTTGGGAGGTGCTGCCTGGAGTGCTGTTCTGCCAGGCTTTTTGAGGCATATCTGAGCCTAGTAGAAATGTGATCTGGACTGTTAGAGTTGTTTGCCTTAGAAAAAAGAGGGAGAAGTTATGTGTGGCTTTTGTGCAGGATATCCTTCCCAATCCTTCCAGAAGTCCAATGCAGAAGTTCAGATCAGGTTAGAGAAGGCTTCTTTTACGAGTGGCAT